AAGTTACATGCAATTAGATCTACGACAAATAGGTAAATCCGGGTCTATCTAGGAATGTCTTTTCTAGTTTCATATTGATAACAATCTCTGACATAAAGATAAATAATTCTATTAGTATTCCCATTTTGGTAAATTAAAATTTTGTATTATTTCGGGAGGAAGTGCTGATTTTGTAAGTCTATTCACTAAGACACATTAATTTTCAGAATTTAAAATGAATAATGGATTAGTACAAATCCATTACAGCTGAAAGTCACTCTTGTACTTGGTAAGTTACCGATAAATTTAAACCCAACATAGTTTAATAATGCTTTATGATTTAACTGATTCGAAAATTAATTAAAGAACTTGTAATCATAGTTATAGTACTTGGACAAGTAAAATGTCTTTTCAAGTAAGCATTAGAAATTAAAACTTTGGCTTCATGAAAAAATATATATATATATATATAAATCCACCCGCTCGACCAAAATTTCGAATGCAAATCAAAAAATCAACTTTGCTGGCCTAATACTCGAATAATAAAAATAATATCATTACAGACTAATTTAATATAAATTAAATGATTAGTTCATCGATTATTATTATAATATTTTGATAAATGACTATTAACTCGCAGTCCGAATAAACATAAAAAGAAATTAAATAAGGAATGAATAGATCATAAGTAAATTGACGCTAATTAATAAATAATCATTACAACTTGCACTTACAGACTATGTTAACCTATATCAACGTGAAAAGAAAATCCGGCTTCGATATTATAAATTTTATGTGAACAGAATCTGGTTTTCCCTTGGCGTCATCCATATAAAAATTAAATAAGTGTTAGCTTATCTTTGAATAACTGATTGAAATATCGATTAAATCAACGCAATAAAATTTAATATAAACAAATTAATTGAGTGTTAGTTTATCCTTGAATAATTCGATTTATCTACATAAAGAAATTGATTAAGAAATGAATAATTAGTTTTAAATTCTCTGCATTGATTAATATCAATATGAATAAATAAATACATGTTACGTTAATTGGAAAACATTTATGTATCATTCAGGTTGTGGGCGCTAACGTTATATCTATGAAATTTAATCCTGTATGTAAGGAACTTATTCATTCTCAGCTTTGATGATCTGTGCAGTGTTTAAAATTGGCTTGCACAAGGTGCACATGTGCAAGAATTTTTTTTGAATTTGACTCGCTTGTGAACGTAGTCACAAGGCGGGACATTATTGTGAGTCATAGAGGTGCATTATGACGTAATTTGAGAATATTAGTATTTGAGTAACTTAATAATCTGTTGATTTCTTTGTTCTTGAATTTTTCTGCTCGACATTGTGTCCAGCTACGTCGCAAGAACAAGCCAGTAAAAATTTGTGATAAAGTCGGAAACTATGTCTGAAGAAATTCAAAATACACCGATTGAAGAAAACAGTGAAGTGCCACATCGCAGGTGGAAATAGCCATGTAGTTGACTGGAAATGTATGCAAACAACAGACTTGAGGGCAATGTGTTTAAAGCACGGCCTTCAGGTTGATGGTAGTAAAGCTGAATTGGTAGGCCATTTGGAAGCCTTCTGGAATGATCCTGAAAAGAAACCTGTAAAATCAGAAGCAATAAAGAGAAAGTCAGCTGACTCTGAGTTCAGTAAAAAATATGATGAAAGAGATGGATTCTCTTCATTAGAGGAATTTTGTTATAATGATGTTTTTTTCTTCTACATGGAAAATAAAGTGGAGAAAAAGATTGAAAAGAAATTAAGTAATTCATTATCAAGGGTACTAGATAAAGGCTTGCATCAATGGACAGCAAGGTTAAAGGGCATAAATACAATTGAGACAAGTTTTTCAAAAAAGAAATTTTAAAGAATACAGGACCAATATGAGTATAATGCTATATGTGATGCTTCAAGGAGCAATTCAAGAAGATTCAAGAAAAAAGGTAAAGGAGGTACAGGAATGATTAAGACTGAGGCCATTTATTTTAAGGTGGCTGAGGAGGAAGGTTGGAACCAAATAATGAGAGTGATGACTTTAATAAATTATTGGATAAGGCTAGGAAGAAAGCAAAGCAACAAAAAGGATTTGTCATATCATATAATTGAAGACCATGGCAATTTAAAGGACAAAGATTTTGGTATTAGGGTGCAGAAAGAAACTATTATATGCTGTATCCCTTCCTTATCAATATATGCAGCAGTTACAATTACTCATGCATTTATATTAAAGCTAAAGTATATTTTCTAACACATATTCTACTTATCAGAATGCATTTAATAAGAATTTGAATAAGCAGTTTACTTGTTATTATTGTGAGAGCACAGGTTATATAGCTTCAGTTTGTTTCTCAAGATCAGCAGAGGGTAGTATGAGAGAAAATGGCCTTTTTTAGAACAAAAATAATAATGGAAGTAGGTGAATACACTTAGGAAAAAAAGATTAAAGAAATAAAAGTATTAGTAAATATAAAACAAAGCAGAGATGTAGTTAAGAAGATCTACAAGCCAGTTGCAGTATGATATTGAATAGAGAAATAAACTCATCACTATGCTAGTTAAAGAATTAGATGCCTTTATTTTTAAGAAATGTATGAAGTTTAGTCAAGAGCAGGATTAAAACCTTTACAAGTTTACACTAAATCAAATGAAATAGCTAAAGAAAAAAATTGGTTGGTTAAAAAAGTTGGTGGCAATAAAAAAAGTAAAAATAATATTAGTTTGTCAGGCCTTTCTGTTAAAAATATCTATTATTCTTGGTGCCAAAACCAGAATAAAAACATTTTCTCTGGTAATAGATTTAAGAATGTTAAACAAGCAGCTGCTAAAGAAGTTTTTTAGATTCGAAGAGCTAGGTGGACTACTAAGGTTAATAGAAAAAAATGATCAATAATTACATTATATTTGAGGGATAGCTACTATTACATGCTAATAGACAAGGAAGCTTGCCACTTTTTAGATTTTTATATAGAAGAAACATAATATTAATACTAAGTATTACTATTTGTCCTTTTTTAGACTGTTTGGATATTTTTAAAAAAATATATATACTAATAGTTTACTAAATAAAGATAGGTATAGCCTCAGGTTTATATATAGATAATATATGGGTAGTATATCTCTTTGCAATAGTGTTAAAAACAATTTGTGACAAAATTATTTTATTAGATCTAAAAAATTGTAAGTTTGTATTGGCTTTGAGACAAAAGCAGTCTAATTTTAGCAAAGAAAATAAAGTTTATAAACTATTGATAGATATAGAAAAAACACAAATAATTATATTAAAAATGAAGTTAAAGAAACTGAAGGTTTGTTTGACATTACCAGTAAATATAAATTAAATAACAACTAGATAGTTAGCAAAAGTTATAGAAAAAATGCAAAGCTTTGTAAAAGCTTTTGCTTCAGTGCAAGTAAAGTATTTAAAGTTCTACTCCTTAATAGATGTAGCAAGCAGATAATTTTAATGATAGGATTAAAAATTTAGTTGTTAGACCAAGCAAAAGCAGACCTAAGTTGTCTGTTAAAAAGGTTGAAAGATATATACAATAGCTGCTCAGTTTGAAGGCCTTTATTAATAAGAAGTTTATTTGTAGATGTTTCTACAACTAGCTTGTGTATAAAATTAAATGTTTAATGTATTTAAAAATGAATAGAAAGTTTAAATTTTTGAGAATTAGAAGCTGTAACAGTATTATTAGAGTTAAAAGGCTTTGCAGAGTTGTTAAGAGGTTTTTGGGTTCTAATATTTATAAACAACAGTATAGCTTTGGCTGCAATAAAGCTTGGTGGCAAAAAATGGTAGCAAAAGAAGATCTATATAAGTTTATAGCAGGTTTGTTTTGAACAAAACATCTGAATTTACAAGATAAAATAGGTATTTTCAGAAAAAAACCTAGCAGATTTTTAGACAAGAATCTTTAATTCATTAGACTAGTATATCAAGATAAAAATTTTTTAAAAAATAAATATAACTTTTGAATTTTACTTAATCAATTGAATGGCTTACCACCTAAATATAAAATTCAAAGATTTACAGTTATTACTTTTGGCTGGTAATAAATACTATGAACTGTTTCACTTAGAGTTAGAAAAATAAAATAAATTATATATGTCTGCCTCTGCACTTAGTACAGAAGGTACTGTATTATGTGAGAAGTTGCAAAACAAGAGCAATACTAGTAGTTTCAAAATGGCTATTTGCTAAATAGTGGCTCTGCTTCTGAAGTTAAATTAGAAAGTTTTGGTCTTGTTAGAACTAAAAGTGATATTTGTGTTAAACCTATTAGAATTTGTAGAATTATAAAAAAATCTGAAGTAGAAATTTTTGAAAATGCATCTTTGGCTATAAGAAACTTATTGCAAAGAGTTAGAAAACTAGCTAAAGATTCTGTATCTCCTTTTTACAAAGCTAAATCTGAAAAATAATAGACCCTATATTAAGTTTTGTAAAAGATTTAATTTTTTTTTAAATATTAAGATGACTACTTTGGGGTCTAGCACATTTTATTAAACTTCAGTTCAAATGTCAAGACAGCCAAATGGGCCACTTCCAACTTTGTTACATTAACAAGAGTATAGTTAGCCATATACAACTTTAGTCATTGCCTATTTAAGAGCTCTGCTATACATATTACTATCTATAATTATCTGCTACTTGCTATATCTAAAATTTGCTTGTAGATTCATTATTTAAACCCTCTGATTAACTTGGTACTATCAGATATTCTTCTAAAAAGGAATTGCTATAAAAGCCTCTTAGAACTTTAAAGTATATATACTTCTATATAGGAGAGTAAACCTACTAATATGGTTCATGTATTACATATATATTATGTAGATTTTTAGTACCTTATGCCTAGACTGTAGCCAAGTACTGTAGCATTTTATCTTCTTTACTGTTATTTACTCCTACTTTACAAAGCTCATACAAACCCCAGTACCTATTTTACAAACAATTATCAATACTCCTAACTTTTTTCCCAAACTACCAATTCAGATGATTTGGAAAGAACTTTCACTAGTGATTTACCAGTCTCCTGGTATTTGTAATTAAACAGATCCTTTTCTCAGGTTCTGACAGCCTGGTTGATGAAGTGTCTTCTCAAATACTCATTGTTCAGCATCTCAAACTCTCAATCTAGATAATCCAGGAAAACTTTTTTCTGCAAATTACCAGTTACCAGTCTTTTGATATTTGCACTTAAGCAGATCCTTTTTTTTCAGCCCCAATAGCCTGGTTGATGAAGTGCTTTGCTATATACTTTGGTTCTGTTTAGTTTTTGCTAGTTTCTTTGATAATAATTCTTTATATAATATTATTAAAGATCTGTGCTACCTTTCTATTCAGATTTGCCAAGAGCATTCATCTTTTTGGTTTCTTGAATTAATATGATTATAGAACACTATTCGTATAACTCATACATAATACAAATGCCTCATGATCTTCCAATCTAGATGGTGCTATCAAGGATAATGTAATGCTGTAATTCTACTACTATCTATACCCATAAATATGTAAACGTATCAGTAGGCATGTAAATGTGTCTATTCCATAACTTTCTATTTTATCATTAATATCAAATTTTTTTTCATTATTAAATAATTAAATCTCTTGTTTATTTCTAATTAAAAATTCTTATCTGTATATTCTTTTGTGTATTGTCTTTTGAATTTGACTTGCAACTTTAATAAACTCTTTTAAGACTCAATTTGATAGACTGAATTGACTTGTAACTTCGATTCAGCTTATTAAGACTCAGATTCTGAAACATTTGTGAAATCAAATACTGCTATGATTTGTGAGAATTGTGGAACAAGACTTATGACTTGTAAACTAACTTGGCTACTTCCTTATGTGCCATTAAAGTTACTGCTAATATCACTTAATATAGTCAGATCTATCTAAGTGCACTCTCTATAAGTGCACACCCTCTCTAAATACATGCTCAAATTTTGCCCAAATATATTCTTAAACTCTACAATCAGATTTCTCTAAGTGACCCCTCAGGGCATAGAAAAAAAAATGAAAAAAGTGCACTTAAAGAGGATGTGCATTTATAGAAAGCAAATTATATAATGCTCTTATAAGCTGGGACCAGACTATACCATGCATTTAAAGAGAACTTACTTAATCCGTGCACTTAGGAAAGTGCACTTAGGAAGGTCTAACCGTAAAAATGCACTTTTTCTTATTATTCTTTAAATGCATGTTGCTAAAGTGTGGTCCCAAGAGCATGCACTTAGAAAGGTCTGACTGTCTATAAGATATATATAATCTAAGTGTAAAATAAGAATATTGCTATCCCTCCCTCTAAAATATTACATAATATCTGTTACCACCCCATATCAAATCAAAAATCTGACTTTATTGATAACGGAAGGGCCAGAAAACACGTGTTTTTTATTTTGACAAAATTACCTCTCTCTCCTCTAGGTTTCTAATCTTCTAGATTTTTCTGTATATAGACATGTTTTTTGAAAAAACTCCCTCCCCCAAAAAAAAACACGTTTTCTGGCCCTCCCTTAATACCTTTATTTTCCCATTGACCAAACTAACATACCTATAAATTACATACTGTATAACAGCTACACCAGCCGGAATGGCGTAGGAAAAAAAAACAGCACCATACAAAAGTATTTCAAGATGAAATATACAAGCAAACCACATGCCAATTTACAATATAACCAAGCTTCACTTGTTGCTACTTCACATAGCATAGTAGAAGTTAGTTTTGATTGGTTGTTGATCCAGATCATCAGATTGATCATGATTGATGAGTAGATCATGCCTTATAC